ACACACTGTAGGCAGGCACTCTACCTGTGAGCTCTATTCCCAGCCCAAGATTAAAAAAAAAAAAAAAAAAAAAAAAGATAACTCTTAACTTGAGGCTACCATTCCGGAGTGTTGTAATTTGTGTTTGAGCGTTATGATATGTATCATGTTTTGTAGATAAAAATCTGCTGCTGATCAAAATATGGTGCACACTTCAAGGATAAAGAATGTATGTAAGTCCAAAATTTTGGCTTTATTAAAAATGGTTGTACATATTCCTGAGGCAAGAGTGCTCATGTTGGCCTCCACTGCTGGCTAATAGGCATGCCGGTCATTTGTAAGAATTTCAAAACAATAGATCCTAAAGCCACATTCCATTTTCATCTTCTCTACAATAAGTAATTTCAAGAAGCAGCCTCTCAAATATATTAAAACTCACACACTCAAGTAAAAAGTCATAGAATCCGGCTGAGCACCCACGCCCCGACTGAGGTGCTTTGTAATTCAATTCCCTTAAACAAGGACATCATTGAGGGGACATTTGATTAGTTACCAGGAGACAACAAGAACTCCGAGGAATGTCAGGTTCAAGTCGCCCGTAGGTAATTACCGATGCGTGTAATTAAATCATGTACAAAGACGCTAAATATTTGACCAAAGTTTGTTTTAAGTCGCTTTACCCCCTTGAAAGACACTAATAAAAAATCATTTTCTCAGGTAAACAAGAGTTAGCTGCATTGGTGGGTTGGCCAGACAACAGCTGCGGGTTTAATTAAACGTTTGCCTAACCATATAAAAAGACAGTGATGTATTTCCATAGCATCTGGTAACTTCACCATCCTCCGGTCATTCTTTAATTAGCATGCTGGTGAATCTAAGAGAAAATGGCTTTAGCACCGGGGCAGATGGTGCTTCTGAGCGACAGGGGGAATGACAATCTCTGTCATGCTTACTTCCTGTGTAGCCCTCTGGTCTGAAAGATTCCTTCAGCGCAGGGCCTGATGGGATCAGGAGTCAGGTTTCAGAGCAGCTGACTGAAAATTGAAAAGTATGACTCCTGAGTCCCTAACCATAAGTCTCATGCTTTAGGATGAAGTTGACCTCCTTAGGCTACAAGTTTGAAACAGTTTCATGGTATTCTTGGGGGTAGATAAAACTGAGGGATTCAGTATAGGCTCTGAAACCATATGCATCATCCCCTTTTGAAGACTAGGAAACCTGAATCGCATCTCCCTCTTGGGCGGGGCTCTGGTAGTTTATAAGCTCCACCCCCAACCCCAAGCATAATGCTGAGAGTTTTGCTTGAGTTTTCCCTGTGGGAACCGGTGATGAAGGGGCATGGTAGTCCCGCAGAACACTGGAATTCACCACAAGAAGGTACTACAGCATGTTACTAGACTGTGCTGGAGTTCAATAGACCTCCTCAAAGAGACCTGGCTCAGAGATGTGCTGAGTACGTCAAGCTCAGGAGAAAAGACCGTACTTATAGGTGCATACGCCTCTCAAGCACGCTCCTTGTCTGCGAAATGTTGTGCAATGGCTGACTTACTACATGGTATTTTCTTCAACTTCCTATTAAACAAATTTCCTGCTAGTACTTTTGGGAAAATGGAGCATCACTCAGAAGTGAGAACTCTGTGGTGTAAATTAATGGTTGATGTAGATGTTTCTGTTTCTCTGGAGTTCCCACCTTGGGGACACATTTAAACTGAAATGAATTCACTTTGCCTCTTGGCAGCAAGTTACTAGCACTTGCTAGTGGCAGTAAACACGGGTATTTGGTGATGGAAAGAAAAAGGTACAGGCTTGAGTTTATTAATACAGAGAAAACATTACAGAAATAGAGAATTAGGGGAGCATCACGGGATGGGGGAGGAGGAGGAGGAGACAGGAAGGAAAGGAAAGGAAAGTTAAGATTACCTAGCTAAAGAAAAATGTGAGGCCAAGAATTCTGGTGCCCTAACAAAGTACCTTCTCACCTCCAGCTCCTCACACATCTTGTAAAACCTTAAATCAAATCAGGACACATTTTATATAAAAAAAACTACAAACAAAAAAACTCCCTGCTTATATTTTCCTGCTAATCACAACTTGGTAAAAAAAAAAAAGTGATGAAGCAAAAATCTAAACCTTAAACTCTCCAAAGAGTGGATATTGCCAATAGCACAGAGATATTATATTAATCTTAGAAATAGAGTTATGAGTCATGTCAATCTAGTCTTTGTTTCTGATCCTGAGCAAGGGCTTGCTACCTAACCTGCATAGCTTTTTATGGGATAGCTTTTTGCTTGAAAAGCCTGTTCTAAATCATCATTGAGTGGATTCTGGAGACTTTTCCTGAAAGATCACATGCACAATTTGCTTAAAGAATCTATGTTTGAGTGTCTAGGCCTTGGCTGATTTTCTTTATAATGGGGATTCAGCCTAGACTATAGAAAGAAATGTTTTATGCATTATAAAAGCCTCACTACAGCATTTTCTTGGAAGCCATAAAATGGTCCATAACCATGTGCAAAGATGCTCTATTTGACTCCTAATAGAGAAAATGTAAATTAATGCAAATTAAGATATTACTTGCTTTATCCATCACTTTGGCAAAAAAATAAAAATAAAAATAACAGCACACTGTCCACAGGATCATGGGAATAGTTATTTTCATACATGACAGGAGCACAAAATGGCATAACTATTGCATCACTCTGCAGAAAACAAAAAGGAACCAATTGCCCACGTGCTTGTGCATGTGTGTACATGCATGTGTGTGTGTGTGTGTGTGTGTGTGTGTGTGTGTGTGTGGTGCATGTAAGTGATGCACAGCAACAGAAGATCCTTTCAAGGATTTGGCCCATGCTGTTATGGAGGATAACAAGTTCTGACACTGCAGGTTGGGGCAGCAGCCTGCAGACCCTGGAATAGCTGATGCTCAAGTTTGACAGGATGGAGAGTTTCCTCTTGCTGTGGTCTTCAACCAATTGGCTGAGATGCAGTCACAATAGGGTTTATTGGTTTGAATTTTAATCTCAATAGTTGCATCCTCAAAGACACATGAAAGGATAATGTTTGACCACCTATATATACACCGTGGTCCAGACATAATGACACAGAAAATTGACCATCACAACCACGGTATAAGAGAATTCAATAATACTATATCTGTATTTTACCTCTTGACCTAACCAACCTTCTGGGAAATTTGAAAAAAGAAATCCACAGCAGGAACTCAAGTTTGCATTGCAGTTGTGTATAAAGTATGAAAATATTGGAGGAAAAGTAGAGTTAATTCAAAGAGAATTGGTTTACAAACTATGACATATCATCTGTAGGACAGATTATAGGCTACTAATAAAGATGCTAGGATGTCCTTATGAGGAGATATACAGCTATTTCTAAAATGCTTGCCCAAGTTTAAAAGATAAGACACAAATTAATACATCATGTTACACTGTATGAGAAATAAGATACAATATATACATAATACATATGTGAAAATACACCCATGTTCATAAAATATAAACATGCACACATATGTACAGCGTTTGGCACAGTTATACATGGGAAGGATAAAAATTAAGCAGGAATATGATTAACTATAGAGGTCAAGTTTAAGTAAGTAAGTGTAAGTGGTATCCTTTCCTGCATTCCACCTTGGATCATTTATTTACAGTTACTGATTGGGCCAGCGAGACAGCACAGGGTAAAAGCATTTCCCACATAACCTCATGGCCTGAGTGAGGAGAGAACTAATTAACCAGAGTGGACCTCTGACTTCCGCATGTGTGACATGTGAACATCTGAACATTCTCTCTTCCTTCTTTTATCCCTCAGTAATAATAATAATAATAATAAATAAATAGAAACCATAAATAGAAATAAGTTATGGATCTTAAACAATTACCATACAATCTACTTAAGATTCATATCCCAGGGGCTGAGAGAGGGCTAGCTGGCTCAGAGAACTTGCCGCTGTTACAGAGGACTTGGATTCTGGTCCCAGTACTCACATGAAGGCTCAAGACTGTTAGGAAATCCAGTTCCAGAGGATCCCATACCCTCTTCTGGCCTCTATGGTCAAATTATGCATGTGGTGTACATACCTGCGTTCAGGTGAATACTTAAACATTAAATTAAAGTGAACCTTTTTTAATTAAAAAAATGTTCAGATACTAGTCACCAAGTCTTGCATTCCCCCCATACGTGTGAGTTAAGAGCCTGAGTTCTGTCGATTCTACGACATAGAAGTTTTCTTCTGGGTGGGGGCACATGGTTTATCTCTGGATGTCAACTCTCTTTCCAGTGACAAGCTTCCCAAAGCTTTCCTAGGTCAGTCACCAGAAGAGGATGGAAGAGAATTGGCGGCCGTTTGAGGAGGCTGAGAGGGAGGAGAGAGGCACGGGGCACTGGATAGCTAATGACTGCAAGGGCCTGAACTAAGGCACTGACAGCAAAGAGACAAGGAAAGGTGGGTGGGTCGTCCCTGTAGATGCTCAGACATTTGACTGCAGCATCTAGATGAGTGGTTCTCAATCTTCCCAATTCTGTGACCCTTTATTTAATCCAGCTCCTCATGTTGTGGTAACCCCAAGCATAAAATTATTTTGTTGTTTTTTCCTAACTGTAACTTTGCTAATGTTATGAATCATGACACAGATATCTGACAGGTAGGACGTCTGATATGGGCCTCAAAGGGTTGGCGACCCACAGGTTGAGAGCTGACGATCTAGGTAGACAGTTGCCTAAGGTGACAATCCTGGCTTATGTACTATGCACTAATGTCAAAAAGGACCACAAAACAGTAAAGCTGACAAACAGGAAATAAAATAAATCATAACAAACCAAAACAAAAAGTGGTTAATATTTTTGATGAACTGGTTCTTTGGGTCCTAATTACATGAGAAAGAAATTACAGATTTTTTTCCTTCCATGCTAGGGTAAAATATAAAATGTGCTTTTCTTGTAGTCTTGAGGATGTTGGGTAGTATTTATCAGTATCCTTTTTGATATCCATGAACTTAGGAGCTCACCTTTCCAAAGTGATGCGGAAAGAATGTGATCTCTATAACCATAACCATACCGGACAATTCTGTTTGATTTGGAAAATGAATACTACCTGATTTCCCTTGGAAAATACTGATGTTTGAAATACAGAGCAGTGTTGATGTACTGGGGAGAAAATGTCAAGCTCTATATTATTGCCTGTCAACCCTGTGAAGAGTGACGTGCCCACCCTACTCGGGCAGGGGTGGGGAGCATGACAGCTGGAAGATCCGCTTGAATGCACAGACATTCTCTTTGCTTTGAAGATTCAAGGGAAATATAGTTCAAGACAATAAGGAAAATATAAAAGATGAGGGCAGGGGTTGGAGTTAATCTCTCCATAATAAGTACTCAAAATGTTCGAATACTGCTGCGGTAGGTTTTATTCTTTCTTCCACAAGTAGGAGCTTTTCTGTGAACCGTCTCTGTTAAGATGTTGCTGCAGGAGGACTGTGCTCTCCTATCCTGCCTAGACATAGCTGTGCAATCCGTTTGCACCCAGTATAGTATGAATTGGGTCAAAGGTGATGCTTCTGAGTAAAATTTATGAAAGCTAATGAATAGTTCTTTTTTGCTTGTTTGTTTGTATTTTGCTCTTGTTTTTGTTTTTCGAGACAAGGTTTCTCTGTATTGCTTTGGAGGCTATCTGGAACTTGCTCTGTAGACCAGGCTGATCTCGAACTCACAGAGATCTACCTGCCTCTGGCTCCTGTGTGCTGGGATTAAAGACGTGTGCCATCAATGCCCAGCTAGTGAATAGCTCGCTATCTCTTTGCCCTCTGATAGACTTGTAAATCCAGGTGGATTTTTTTTAATGTCAGACAAAGTCCCTGAGTGAAACGATGGGACAGAACCTTAGTTGACTCATGATGGCAAACAATGTGAGAAATTGAGGGGCAGATGCTATATTGTGTCCAAAGCAAAAATTAGCCTACACTAACAAAATCATATAGCTTTCTCTACCCATTATACTACATAACATAATTCTGTAGATACACTACAAACTTTCAGTTAACACAGCAAATGAGTTACTTCTTGGAACTGTGGATTTGACACAATGCTAGAGTTCTTGGCTTAGTATTTACAAGTTCCTGGCCTTGATTACCATGTCAGCAAGCAAATGAAACAAAACTGGGTGTATTTTCCTACTAATACAAGGAAAGAGAAATCAAAGACCTGCCTTTGCCTGTAGGAAGTCTTAGGGTCTCTATTGTTGTACTCTCATGTCGAGAAGAACATCCATTGGCCAGTGCAGTCTGTGGTTTGAATAAGAAATGCCCCCATAGGCTGAGCAATTTTAACACTTGGTCCCCAGTTGGTGGAGCCTTTGGAGCTTTGCTAGAGGAAGTATGTCACCGGGGAAGACCTTGAGAGCATGCAGTTCCCCCACTCCCGGTTCTTTTTCTGCCTTCCTTCCTTCCTTCCTTCCTTCCTTCCTTCCTTCCTTCCTTCCTTCCTCCCTCCCTCCCTCCCTCCCTCCTTCCTTCCTTCTTCTTCTCTCTCTTTCTCCCTCCCCCCTTCTCTTTCTGTCTTTGTCCCAGTGTGTGGATGAAATGTCCTGCTCCTGTGATCATGACATGCCTTCCGGAACATGATGGACTTGTATCTTTTAGTAAGTGGGAGCCACAATAAACTCTTTGTTAACTTGCTTTTGGCCAACAGAAAAGTAACTAATAAACAAAGCAGGTAGCTGAAGTCTGCAGCAGGACTGTGCTGCCTGTGTGGTGAACTCCAAGTTTAGGACGAAGGTGGTATACAAAGAGAAGGGAAAACAATAATCTACCAATTGTTCTGAGAGTGTGGGTGACTGTTCATCACCAGGACTGAAGAGTCATAGGAGCTGTGTGCTCCCAGCATGAGAACAGGTCATTGAAGGGCAATGACACTGAATTCTGTGGGATCTGAAGTTTATGCATTTGGTATACCATCTCCAAGTAAAGAACACACACACACACACACACACACACACACACACACACACACACACACACACTGTTAGCTTCACTGGGGTCCTCAAAGAGGCCCATGCAAATCAGAGCCCCTGAAACTTCGATAGCTTCAGATTAAATCATCCCCAGATCATAGGTTCACTCCTGAGCTTTGCTGAGACCACCAACTCGCCCATGGTTTTTGTTTCCCGAATTGTGTGGGTCCTCAAAAAAGCTGAGTTCTTCTGGGTCATCCTGCATTATCTTGATTCCCATCCTTAAGGTAGTTAATTTAAATTAATAAAAGATAAGTTATTACCCTGTAGCCCAGACTGGATATGAACACACTTTTGTAGCCCAGGCTGGCCTCAAACTCACTGTTTCTGTCTCCACTTCTACAAAGCTTGGATTCAAGGCATGCACTCCAATGCCCAGCTTCTTAGGGCTCAATGTGACTGTCCCAAAGTCTTTTTCTCCCAGATCCATATAAAATCATCTCTCTTCCTCGAACCCTCCACTGCTTTCTTAATTTCATTCTTCTCTATAGATGCTACCATTGTCTTACATACATATTTTATATATGTATTTATTTTCTCCCACTAACACGTAAGATTCAGGAAGGAAGGGATTTTCTCTTTCAGTCTTGATTGTAAATACATCAGAAAGTTCAGAACAATGCCAGGGACATAGTAAGCCATCCCAAATACTTATGAAATGCATGACATTTTAAAAAACATGCCTTTTGATATTTTTAATTTGATGTATGTTAAGAAAGAAAATGACTAGAAATAAAATTTATATTAAAACAGAACCAAAGGATGTAGTCCTCAAGTTATAGTCTGACTTTATTAGTTTATTTAGAAATTTAAGCCAAGTGGTGATGGTGATGGTGGCACACATCTTTAATCCCAGGACTTGGGAGGCAGAGGCAGGCAAATCTCTGCAAGTTCGAGGCCAGTGCGATCTACAAAGTGAGTTCATGACAGCCAGGGTAACACTGAGAAACCCTGTCTTGAAAACAAAACAAAACACAAACAAACAAACCCAAATCTTGTAAAGATCTGCATTTTGAACTTTTTGCAAATTTGCCATTTTAAGTAGACCAATTACATTGATCTTGTAAATGTGGCCAGTGAAACCTAAATGTTGTCATAATTTTATACCATTACTAGCCATGAATGACTCCATGAACAGGATTTGCAGTCACAAGAATTCTTCAATCTTTTAGCTTGTATTTTCATTCCACTTCTCTTACATGTACCCTAAGTTACAATATGTTTGTCTGCTTGAAGGGGTGGTTTCACTGGTTATTATATCATAATAAAATAAGTAGCTGTTTATATTTTAATCAAAATCTTCTGTGACTGTAATAAGGTCTAAGACAATTTCTTCCTGGACTCAGCTTAAACTATAATTGTTACATTAAATTAACCAAAGCATCACAAACATATATCTTGCTAGGAAATTATTGAACAAAGAAAGAAGCATTAAATTCGTATTTCTTAATAATATGGAAATTCAAAACAAGTATCTTATATAAATGTTCACACATGCTCATGTATACTTACCAGCTAAAATGCGGTATTCAATATTGATTTTCTTCTCTGTTCAGTATGTTTTGTACATAAAATGGCAAATAAAATCCATTTATAAGTTAATAGAAAGGACTAAGAGGAACTGTGATGGGAATGTGGTTTAAGTCTTTGAATGCCTAGATACCAAAAGAAAATCCCATGATGGTTGAGTATCAAAATTATTTTTACTTATCTTTCATCACTTGACAACAGGATTGCATCCTTTCAGATTAGCTGAGAGCAACACATCGGAGCCCTCTGATCACAGAGGTGCTAACGGCTTACCGTTCAGTACCTGTGTACCTATGTGCATTGCTCTTTTTCGTCTGTTGCCCAACATTTTAGAACACTCCTCCCTAAAACGCCCCCAGAACAAGAGGCGCTAGTGAGGAGAGAGGCACCGACCTCCCTGCACTCCCAGAGGTGATGGAGACCGGTGCCTTCGAGGAAGAGCAGCCTGGACGAAGGATGCCCCAGCGAGGGGAATCTTGGGACAGATTTCTTTCCCTCCCTGGAAAGCCTTTTCACAGTCCCCAGCCCTCTTGCTGCCACCCACGAGGACTTGGACAAGGAAGCGGTGGGAAATGTAAACAGGATGTTCAGTCTTTCCTCTCAAGGGGTTAAATGAGACAGACGCCACTGAGACAGACTGCAAAGAAGCCACTTGGCAGAAATTCAGATGCCTCCAGGGTCAGCACTACTTGAGATCGGAAATACCTGCTCAGGCTTTATTTCTCCCCAGAAACTGTGCAGCTCTGTTTTAGCCGGGTGCATAAGGACTGGAGGCTGAGCTCTGACCAGAGGGAGGCACGGGAACCCACTGTGTCAGGAGTCTCTCACGGACATGCCTGCTTCTTTCTTCGGTGTGGGCACACACTCCTCAGCACACACCCCTCTACAGAGGAAAAACATTTGGCCTCGTGGAAACACTTGTGTCATTTCCTTGAGACCCCTCCCAGACCCTCTTCTCACAGCTGCTGTCTTCTGATGCATCTGTCTGTTTGGCCTGCTTAATGTTTGCCCTGCGCTGATGAAAGACCACATATCCCAAAACCGCTAAACACAAATCAAACCATCACGTGTTAATGATAGCATTGATCTCCCATGCAAATCATTACTAACCTGCTTTATGTTATAATAAACTTGATGTGAGAAAAATGCATTTGAAAGAAAATTGTAGAATCGTGATTGGAGAATTTCAAATTCGAATTAATGTCCATCATAATATAGATTAATGTTAATTTGTACCCAGACACAATGACTTTTATAGACAGAATTTTTTTAAGATTTATTTTTGTGTATGTATGTGTCCATATGAGTATGTCATGTGAGTACGGTGCCCTTGGAGGCCAAACCAGGATGTCAGGTCCATCGTGGCTGGAATTACAGGTGGCTATGAACCACCTGATGCAGGTCTGGGAACAGAACCCAGGTCCTCTAGAAAAACAGTAAATACTGTCAACTGCAAAGCCATCTTTCCAGCTCCACAGCCTGAAATACTTTATAAGACCACACAAATCATGTCAGGGCAAC